ACACACCTGAATCAAACGATTAGTTCATTACCAGGCCTCTGGAGAACTTCAAGACATGTTGAGGAGGTCATTTAGCCATTTGAATCAGCTGTGATGGATCACGGACACATCTAAAAACTGCAGGACATCAGCCCTCGAGGCCTGGAGTTGGCGACCCCTGGTATAGAACATGGAGGTAGTTTCCAGAGCAACAAAACTTGGCGTCTAAGACCTGCAATCTGTTTAAGGTTATCATATGGTGATCGCTATGGCTGCAAAAAGAAGAAATGGCTTTCTGTCTGTAAACACTTTTCTGCTGGCTTGTTCACTTGTTTTGGGCCATACTGAAGTCTTTTTTGTAAATTTTGGTTCCAAAAATTGAGGATTAGTTATGGTGCGGAATCGACACATCGCCAGCGAAGGAGTTTTCAATAACAAGCCGTTCGGCAGTTTCACCGTCTGATCCACGGTGTTTTCTATGTTGCAAAGATTGCAACGGGGAACTGTTCAACTTGATGCTCCAAAACAGGACCAGGACCAGAAACTATGGCTAAGTTCATGTTTTATACTGTCTATGAGTGTAACCAGTGGTTTGCACATCATCACTTGCGTGTGTTCTTGGCTTGAGCGCTATGGTGAAGCTGCTTCTCCCAATGTAAATCATTTAGAAGGGTAGATTTTTGATTTGGTTACTCCAAAACAAGGGAACAGGCCTGACCTCGCCCTGAAACAGCTTTTCAGTCAACTGTCCAATTATTTGTTAAGATTCTGAAAATGGGGGATTTGCATAAAAATATAAATCCTGAAAACTTCATCTAATAATTTTGTAAAACCCCTTGAAATACAGCATTTCAATTCCATATTAACTATCCGATTTAAGATCCACTGTAGTGGTATACAGAGGCAAAACTACAAAAGCCGTCTTAGTACAGCAAACGGACCAAAGTGTAAGATTGTGGCAGACCACCAGGTGGCTCCACTCACACCCAAGTTGAAGGGAAGTGCTGGGGTGGAGATTTTGGCGCTTACTATATGTGATGTTCTGAGAGTCAGTTAATAAAGTTGGAGTGACTGAATGATTTCTTTGCGTAATACAAGAAACCAAGAGTGCACTGCTCTACAGAAACTCGGACTGAAACTACACCCAGCAAGGAAGAGAGCACCCAAAGGCAGTTGTAGGTTTAAATTCATCTATTTTATTTCTTATTCATTTAAAGCTTTTTTGCATATCATTATAGGGCTGTTTCTTTTGTGGCACAATCTAAATTAATTAAAAAAAATCCACATTTGATGGCAAAAAATTGAAAGCAAATCAAAAGCTTTATTTAAAAGAGCCTCTAAGAACGCCTATAACAAACTGAGGACACCCAAACTATTCGTCTTTTCCACTCATTTTCTTTGTTTTTCACAGCTGTTTGGGATCTCTCTGTTCTGCACAGAACCACTTCCCAAACCCTTTAAAGCCCCCCCTTTTTGTGTGTACCCAGCTTCTTGGCTAGGATTTGGCAGCGAGGTCGGGTGTGGCACGGTGTTTTGGCCAGTTGAGTCATTACCACAGGGGACTGAATGCAGGCCTGGTAAAAGACGGCCAGGCCCCACTTCAAACGGCGTGCGGTGGCAAGCTAAAGCGGGATCCACCCTGCTGATTTATTAGGATACAGAGTCATCTAACAGAAGACTGGATCTGCTGTAGTTCTTTCACCACTGGAACACAGAGGTGTTGTCCTGTACTTTTACTAAGCAGCAAAG